GACAGGACCTCTCCCCCTCCCCCGAGAGATGCATGAAAGAAACTATACCCACTCCATATGGGGGGAAGGGGGGCATGACCTCTCCCCCTCCCCCCGAGAGATGCATGAAAGAAACTATGCCTATTCCATATGGGAGGGGGGAAGGGGGGGCATGACCTCCCCCCCACATCCAAGCGATGCATGAAAGAAACTATGCCCATAATAAAATAAAAATGGAAATTATGTTGTAACCGAATTGGTTAAAAAATTAATTGTAATTGGTTTAAGAAAAAATTCGAATGGTTTTCATTGCGTTCATTTATTTTTTTCTTTCTACTTAATTAACATCTTTTTTATATAGTGTTACAAAATACTTTTAGTGAACCAATTAAATATATAAATGTAATGTATAAGAACTAGCTGTGTAGGCTATAATAAACGTATGTTGGCCTATGTATGACTCGAGTTGAAGCCCAATGACAATAGTAGGATGTTTGCTGACAGATGTGACTCGGTTAGCCAAGCGAGCCTCCGAGAAGAATATGACAACTTTCCATATTGTCCACTCTGTTTGTCCACATTGATGTCCACTCTGTTTGTCCACATTGATGTCCACATTGTTTGCACGTGGCTGATGTTCGCCAAGCTGTATTTACCTGTACTGTGTTTGCTCACCTGCCGGCCGTGACCTTGAGATGGTGTCACAGGAGTTAGTCTGTCCGCTGTCTAAGGTCGCGAATAGCTGGACGGGTTTTCACCGTCTGATCTAGGCCGGGCCACTGAGATCATTTCATATCCCCCCCCACCACACCCTCCATGGCTTTTGAGTCCCGAGTCAGCTGTAAGAAATCACCCCCCCCCCCCCCTCCTCTCTCTACTTTCTTAAGATACACCTTATCAATGTTACAGTGATTCCCTACCCTTTATGGATAATGAGTTCCCTCCCCTGTTATCTGTAAGTAGACCCCCCCTCCCCTCCCCATCTGTAAGAAGTGCAGGACTTTACCTGCGAACGACCTAATAAGTAACGTGGGATTAACAAGCCAACGACTCACGGATTATCCCCCTTTTATCTTCTCCCCCGGGACTTATTAACCCGGGCATGCACGCCAGGTCAACCGTGACAAACAGAAGAGCTCGTCACCACACAGAAGGATTTCATCAACCCCCCCCCCCCCCCCCACGTCACACCATCCACTGTTTTCATTGACTTTTAAAAAAATTAATATAACGTTCTCGGGTCAACTACATATCTCCTTGTTGCTAATGTAGTCCCTAGTTCAACAAGTAAACCAGCTATGATAGGATTTATGATACGCTGGAATACAACAGTGACGTGGATGGATAATTCGAGATTTTAATTTTGTCGTCACTATACATGTTTTATAGAGATGGACTCTCTTGTTTTATGGATTACCTGGAGTCCCTGGGAAGGGGGGGGGGGATTATAGCACCCCTCATGCTCCAGACTAACTATTATATAATCATATTAGAGTCTATTACAGTTTACTAAAATTATAATGTTTTTTTTTTTATTAAATCCTAACCTTATCTTATATTCATAACACCAACGAAAGAATGTTTTCAATTTTCAAAAGGGCGTTTCATTATGTCCTCTTGTTTACATAGAAAAAAAAAAAAAAAACGTGCACTTTTTAAACCTAACAAAACATGACATTTTACTAGATGACCACACACTCACACACACACACAGACACACACACACTCACACACACTCATACACACACACACAAGTATAAATGAATAAAATATCGTTGGTTCAACGATAGGGACATTGTCTTCTAAACCCCCTCCCTCCCCCCCTCCCCAGCTAGAAGCGTCCACTAAGCGATGTGTCATGGACCTGTTGTGTTGACCCTTGCTGGACTGACCCCTTGTTCTGGCCCGTCCGTCTATTTGTATTTCCAACAGCGCTTTAGTATAAAGCGACACCATGGGTCAACAATAAGCCGACTCACCACGGTCACGAAATCAAAAGGTTGCTTTTTTCCGGGGGTCGGAAACACCAGTACATTATTTCACTCGTCAATGTAACACCGCACCAATCCACAACAAACACAAGTACAAAACTCCGCCAGATCAAAATGTCCCCAACATACCACAACATTTAAATTTAACATTAGCCAAGAGACTAGCTACGAATACCAACAGTTCACCACTCCACCAGATCAAAATTTATAGTGGATTACTGGACTTCTTGTGCAAAGTATGTTTGATCTATAAATCATATATATATATATATATATATATATATATATATATATATATATATATATATATATATATATATATATATATATATATATATACATATATATATAGGCCTATATATATATATATATATATATATATATATATATATATATATATATATATATATATATATATATATATATATATATATATATATATATATATATATATATATATATATATATATAGGCCTATATATATATATATATATATATGTATAGGCATATATATATATATATAGGGATATATATATATATACATATATATATATATATATATATATATAGGCCTATATATATATATATATATATATATATATATATATATATATATATATATATATATATATATATATATATATATATATATATATATATATATATATATATATATATATATATATATATATATATATATATATATATATGTATAGGCATATATATATATATATAGGGATATATATATATATACATATATATATATATATATATATATATATAGGCCTATATATATATATATAGGCCTATATATATATATATATATATATATATATATATATATATAAATATAAATATATATATATATATATATATATATATATATATATATATATATATATATATATATATATATATATATATATATATATATAGGCCTATATATATATATATATATATATATATATATATATATATATATATATATATATATATATATATATATATATATATATATATATATATATATATATATATATATATAATTGGGAGTGGAGACTGACATCAGTAACACACCGTTCTCAACTTGCCCAAAAAGCTAACGTTATTGACCTATTAAAATCGCAATTCAAGAAAACCAACTATCTCCACCATCGTCTGACGTCACGACCAGGGCCGAGCAGCGATTGGACAGCGCGACAACCTACTCGTCTATCTGGGGACCGTGCGGGACCGTGGCGAGGGCTGACGTCAATCACTGAGTGGCCTGCTGGTAAATACCAGTGCTTTGAGTCTAATTAATTCACACCACTGTCAACTGGGGATGTCAGGCCGGACAAATAAAAAAAAAAAATTCAACCAATCAGCTCGCTTCTTGCAGCGCTTTAAGTAGGTTAAGATACGGGTTCCAAGTTAAGAAAATGACGAGTCTATAGCTCTGTCTTTTTTTTCGGTTAGCCGTGCCTCATTTTAGAGGTGGTTTATTGTTAAAGATGGTACTTAATTAGTAAATACAGTAACCATAAGCTGCTACAGTCTGACTTTGCCAGGGAATTTAGGTGGTTTTTTACTGTTGTTTAAGGCTAGCCCTAAATCTAACCCCTCACCATAAAGCCCTAAATCTAACCCCTCACCATAACACAGTTATCCTGAAATCATAACCCTTCACAATAACACCTTTATCCTGAAATCACCACCCCTCGCCATAACACCTTTATCCTGAAATCATGACCCTCTCACCATAACACCTTTATCCTGAAATCACAACCCCTCACCATAACACCTTTATCCTGAAATCCTAACCCTTTATCATAACACTTTAATCCAACCACACAGCTTTAGGTAAGGGTTACATTGAAGCCTTCATTTTGGGACAAGATGCCTAGTATGCAAGAACAGAAAAAAAGTTCCTGCTGTAAATATGCTCGTGACGGCTCTGTGTCACCCTCTAACGGAAAAGTTCTACTTAGCTTATATAACCCATATCCACCCATCCTTAATCCCTTTAATCTTCTTTTATCTCACACACCACACCCGTTTACGGTATCACACGGTGTATCATATTTTAATCCCCCCCCACCTCCCCCATCACCCCCCGTCACTCCTGTATATAGGTAAGCAGACTGTCACTTAACAGATTACACCTTTTTAATTACACGATCACCACCTTTCCCTCCCCCCTCCCCTACCTGCTCATCCCTTACCTGCACGACCTGATGCACGCGCCTTCACACCCAGGTCTGAGAGGTCAACGTCTCCTACAATAAACCAACGTGAGCTGCTCTAGAACTCAGACAAGCATCCCCACCTCCCCCACCCCCCCCCCCCCCATACCTTATATTCGTTACAAAGCTGTTTACCTAATTTTCTCAACGTTTTAAACGCTATGATATTATCCGAAGGAATACTTTAAATTTTTACAGCCATTGAGAGCATGACTGAAAAGTTACACTTTATTTTAGGATTGTGATATTTCTTATATAATGGCACGAACTGTTTTAAGAAATTCTAATTAAGCGATGGATACACGGAACACTGGCCACTGTATCGTCTTTGGGATGCATAATCTCAGTGTGTGGAGGCTTTTTGAGGAGCTATCTACGGTATGAGGACCTTTCGTGGACCTATCTCTGTTTTGGGGACCTGAGGTAGGGGTGTTATATGTAGTGGGGATACATAAACATATACAGCGGAAGCGGAGGTAGGGGTCAACATAGGGGTTAAGCTGGGGGGGGGTGTCCCACCTTTAAATAGACGCAGTTGGATACCAGACAATTTAATTATGACTGCCGTTCTCTGGTTCCGTCATACCTTCACAGCCCCCTGCACATTCCGGCCGCGCTATTTATAACCCGCGCGTGGTCGCGGTGACCCAGGGAGTATCAGTAGGTCAGGCCAGGTTTAGACTCCCCCGGGGCCAGGTTTAGACTCCCCCGGGGTCCAGGTTCCTGCCAGACCCCGCGGTAATCTCCAGCAGCCGACACGGGTGTCAATCAAGGGCAGGACATCTGGAAGCTGGCCTGACGTTCTATGACTCAAGCCTGCGGCGTGCCTGCTGGGGGTGGCGGGGTACTACCCGGGGCCTGCTGGGGGTGGCGGGGTACTACCCGGGGCCTGCTGGGGGTGCCGGGGTACTACCCGGGGCCTGCTGGGGGTGCCGGGGTACTACCCGGGGCCTGCTGGGGGTGCCTGCTGGGGGTGCCGGGGTACTACCCGGGGCCTGCTGGGGGTGGCGGGGTACTACCCGGGGCCTGCTGGGGGTGCCTGCTGGGGGTGGCGGGGTACTACCCGGGGCCTGCTGGGGGTGGCGGGGTACTACCCGGGGCCTGCTGGGGGTGCCGGGGTACTACCCGGGGCCTGCTGGGGGTGGCGGGGTACTACCCGGGGCCTGCTGGGGGTGGCGGGGTACTACCCGGGGCCTGCTGGGGGTGCCGGGGTACTACCCGGGGCCTGCTGGGGGTGCCTGCTGGGGGTGCCGGGGTACTACCCGGGGCCTGCTGGGGGTGCCTGCTGGGGGTGCCGGGGTACTACCCGGGGCCTGCTGGGGGTGGCGGGGTACTACCCGGGGCCTGCTGGGGGTGCCTGCTGGGGGTGGCGGGGTACTACCCGGGGCCTGCTGGGGGTGGCGGGGTACTACCCGGGGCCTGCTGGGGGTGCCGGGGTACTACCCGGGGCCTGCTGGGGGTGGCGGGGTACTACCCGGGGCCTGCTGGGGGTGGCGGGGTACTACCCGGGGCCTGCTGGGGGTGCCGGGGTACTACCCGGGGCCTGCTGGGGGTGCCTGCTGGGGGTGCCGGGGTACTACCCGGGGCCTGCTGGGGGTGCCTGCTGGGGGTGCCTGCTGGGGGTGCCTGCGGCGTGCCTGCTGGGGGTGGCGGGGTACTACCCGGGGCGCTGACTTTTGTATACAAATAAACAGCAGCGGTTCAAGAATTTAGCAAAACTTTAAAAAGAAATTAATTAAAATTCAATTGTCCAATACGCCAAATAATTATTGTCATCATATATTCCCGCTTGTGTCTAAGACTAAGTAGAGTTCATCAGTTTCACCGACCTCGACTTACGGAGGGATATTGTCCACAGCTTGTTATTACACCCTGATATAAATATACAACATCCTTTCACACGCCGAGGTCAAGAAATACAATAAACTCTACTTCATCTGCTCATTGGACCGTTTGATCTATTTGTCTAGTTGAAAAAAGTCAACCAGGAAGAACCACATAATCGACCTTTTCCTCCCCCCTCTCACTCTTACAATTTGCAAAGTAGTATTAAATGCGATTAGTCTGTAGATTCTGTCTATACATAGCTATAAAAAGGGTTAGTACAATCCTTTATCCGAACCCCGGACACCCAGGTATCTAACGGTAGATCTAATCCTAATCCTAATGTGTCGAGCCATAACCCATCCTCGCCTCCCTTCCATTTCTTACATCTGCTTGTCTGACACATTACCTCCAACTGAACCCGTCGAACAATTGTTCTTGTTGTAATACAAACCCTAAAACAATCCCTACCCTACATCCCACAAACCCCACCATCCCCCACACAACGACCACCCAACGCCACACAAACCCCACCATCCCCCACACAACGACCACCCAACGCCACACAAACCCCACCATCCCCCACACAATCCCCACCCTAGGCCACACATCTGCACTATTTTACCATCTCTGCATGTGTCATCATTACGTTCTCTCCACTTAATTCTAATTCTTAATCTTCTTAACACATTTTTAAAAAAATTTTCGCTAAGCCGGTCCTGAAAAACGTGAACTACGTGCAGTTTCCAATATCAGGGAACGAAGCAGTAATAAAACTACCCTCATTAGCGACACCACTTTGTGTCACACTACAAAAACAAATCTCAAATCTGTTGTGTTTGTATAACCTGCCCCCCTCCCCACCAGACTACAACACTTTTAATTCTATGTCAGACGAAACTAGAACGGTCGTCTGCTTCTCGAACCACGTGACTGTCTGGCACCCAGACGAGCTGATCTGCCATTAGTGCTGTTAATGACATCTGACTTTGACACCAGAACTGATTTCACAGATGTTGGTAGACTGCAAACTAGTGTATATAATATATATATATATATATATATATATATATATATATATATATATATATATATATATATATATATATATATATATATATATATGTTACGGTCAAAGCCCGAAGTCTGCCAATGCTAGGATTGGCCGGCCAATCCGCGCATTGGCCAATATCGCCTCCCATAGGTCGGTCAAAGTCCGAAACTTTGCTTGATTCCGGCCTTTGGCCGGCCAATCCGCAGACTGGCCATGGTGGACCGGCCAAAGTGTTAATTAGAAGATCATCTGGCTAGGGACGACCGGCCAAAGTCCGAATTAGAAGATCATGAGCAGATTTTGTCATTTTTTTATGCCGTAAGGATCATGAAATTAAGTCTTTATTGATTATTAATTGAAGTAAATGACAGAAAAATTCAAGTTTTTTATTGTACTATAGTCTCAAACTATCAATATCATCATTTGTTACAACAAGTTGAACTTTTATGGCATTTAGAATTACATAGCAGCTTGTTATTTTTACACTTGCAGCGATTTGTTGTGCACTTAGTTGTGCAATTGCAGCGAGTGTAACCTTGGCCACCAGTCAATGATTGTGAAGATGCGATGGTTCGTAGTGATTTTTATCAGTGCCAACTGACGACAATAAGAGCAGTTTTTCGTGAAGAATTGAAAACTCACTTCTAGCATACAGTTGTTTTAGAACACCATGTTCCCTTCCTAATTTGTAGAAACCGCCCTCGACGCTCATGACAACTGCAATCACGCTTCGGGGAGCACCACGACCTCTGTCAACATCTGGAACACGGATGCGTATATTGTCACCCACTTCAGCATCTTTAAATTTTGTATTTGATGTTTTAAGCATCTTAGCACATTGAGTTTGCAAGCCAGTATGAGCTGCTGACCTGTGTTCCATGATGTCTCTTTTGTTGTGACACAATCTGCAGGTAATGTTCCCTCCGTACCCTTCGTCTGCTTCATTGGGTACTCCACAAATAGCATGGACATCTTTGCCACAGGATCCACAAGAATGAGCTGCACTACAATGTTTTTCACAAACTATATAGAATCTGTTGGCCACATTATTGTCACGCAACTGGTCTGGACGTTCCGCCACGGCAGTAGATGTCTTACCTGAGGATGTCGTTGCATTTATGGCAACCTCCATTTCTTGTTCAATGTTCTCAAGATCTTCTTCAGTAACTATTTTATCGTGAGCCCATATATGGAAACTAACATGGATTTACGTTTTTTTCTTTTGACAGCCATCTGCTATGTCTGTCTCATGGTCTGACGGCCCTTTTGATCCATGTCGCATTGCTTATAGAATGCCAAACAATACGTTACTCTAAATGAAAACGCACCCAGAATAATAAAATTCGATCACAATTTAATCTAGATAGAACATTGGCCAGGACGTCCCGGCCAGTGCGCGCATTGGCCGGCCAATGTACAAAATACGCTGTCAAGTTTAAGCGCTTCGGACTTTGGCCAGTACGTCCCGGCCAGTGCGCGCATTGGCCGGCCAATGTACGAAATACGATCTTAGTGCTAAGTTCTTCGGGCTTTGGCCAAGAGAGCCGGCCAATGCGCGGATTGGCCGGCCAATCCTAGCTTTGGCCTCACTTCGGGCTTTGACCGTAACATATATATATATATATATATATATATATATATATATATATATATATATATATATATATATATATATATATATATATATATATATATATATATATATATGTATGTATGTGTGTGTGTGTGTGCGCGCAGTTAAATTAAGTCGGCGGAGCTTCTTTTAGCTCAGTGAGCTTACATTTAGGTGTTGTATAAGAAAAAAATTTCTTTAATAGTAGAGCCCTTCTTCTTAGTACCTAGTACATATAAAAGTAAGTAGAATTGAGCTAACTTATCAACATTTCTGTATTTACATAGATCACTAACACTATTCACAATGCTATCTGCTTGCTATCAGCAATTATTAAACGCATACGTACATTGTTATTTCAACTCCCCCAGTGTGAATATAATCTCGCTCAATTAGTGTGTACAGTGACTCACCGTAACACCTTTAAAATGAAAACACCCGTTTTTTTAAGACAAAAGGGGAAACATCATCCAGGTAGTTTAGTCTCCTTCAAATGGATTCGTTAGTTATCAGACGGGAAGTTCAAAACCATTCAGGCTGTCTGATGAAAGTAAGCCAATATATTAGGATGGGGGGGGGGGGGGGGGGGGGTTAAAATTATTTGTGCGGTTGGGGGAGGTTGTAACAGCTTGTGTGTGTGTGTGGGGGGGGGTGTTGAAGTTTTATTGTGGGGGTAGGGGAATAGGGGGTGATGAAGTTACTCGGGGGTTTGAAGTTACTTGGGGTGGTGTTGAAGCTACTGGGGGGGGGGGGGGTGTCAGTGACTTGTAATTACGTAACAGTTAAGACCTGGCTTCTATGAGAATCTCTCTTCTGTAAGGTCTCATTCTTTTTCATGTAAGTGCCTCAATCTGTTTTATGTAAGTGCTTCAGTCTGTATCATATGTATTATGTAAGGGCCTCGGCCGTTTTTGTAAAGACCACAGTCTTTTCTTTCTTCCCTTTATAGCTTTAATTTGTATTATGTAATGACCTCAAACTATTTACAGGAGTACCCACTTTTCACGTTTTTTTTCTCTAAAAATAGCCAGACCAGACCAGGTTACACATCAATAAATAATTCAACGACCGTATCAATTACCACATCATGACTAGTTCAACGGATATAAATAGATTTATGATAGCACGAAACTAACATTCAAACGCCCCATATCATTCCCACCCTCCTCCACCTTTTCACCTTCCTTACTAACTCGTCAGTGTGACATCACTTCCTTAATACTTACCAAAGTCTTCGGCACGTTAAAATACGCACACGACATAGTATAAGCTATACAACATGCCGTAAGTCTTCCCTTTAAGTGCTACACTCCAGCATGTAGCTCTGTGCAATCTACATTCCAAAACACTCTATGGACACCCATCACTTACTCTAGGTTATTGTCACACCCCCACACCCAAACACCGCCCCCCCCCCCCCACCTAACCCTGTGACAGACACATAGCATGAGACATCAATATTTGATACCACCAAACGGCACTAACCTCACGTCTGTACTTCTCGCAGGTCCCACAACTCTCGCGGGATTTCGTGACATGACCCGCGGACAGTGACGGACCCGTGTACGGGGGAGGACCCGTATATGGGACAGGACCCGTATATGGGGCCGGTCTCGTGTATATGGACGGTCCCGTGTGTTAGGGAGGTCCAGTGTTGAGCCCTGTCCTCTTGACCACAATGTGACCATACAGCAACCCTTCCCCATTACCAGACCAAACCTGCCCGTACATAAAAGCAGCCGACTATATAAAACACGTATCGGGTCACGTGATGCCCGTACGACTGCGCATGTGCAATATTTAATAAACTTCTTCACGCTATTTGCCAGGGAATAAAAAAAGTTTTGGAAAAAATTTAGTCGCGATGGTTAGAAGTCAAACACCGGCACGCGGCACAAAATGTCGTTAGGTCGAGTCACGTGATAGTTTATAGCACATCACAACCCGGGGGTCGGGGTCTGGGTCGTCAGAGTAGACTCGTGCGCATGTTCCTATATGCATCTCCTGTGGCATGGCATCTAAATGGCACACAGGGACCGGTAAATACCTACTGCTACGCCCGGCAATTTCCGGCCCCAGTGCCGTACTACCGATGCGTGTGTGAGGCTGTATTTGATATAGATCGTACTGGCATTTAGTTAATACGGACAGACTGACACGGGAACGTTGTAAATTAAATCCACTCACCCATGTTATTGGCGGTGTTAAATGTTTGATGCTTGGATTAGCTGACTAGAGTTTTAACACTCTAAGTCTCACTAGCAGGGACCTTATTAAAACCTCGCCCCTGCTAGTGATGAAACCAATCCCATGGAGCGTAGATGTCGTGGCACTGGACATCATCAAACACACGCCCTATGGGACGTCGCTACTGTAACCCATCTCACCTGGACAGTGAAACCACATCCATGGACTTTGTGAAAACACGGGACCTTATGGGACCCACGCCCCTGGACCTCATGGTACCCACCCCCTGGACCACATGGTACCCACGCCCCTGATTTCGACCAAACACCCTGGCTAGGTGGTGCGTGGCTAGATAAAGCTGAGATCGCTTGATCACGTGACGTCTATTAAACAAAGTAAACTAAACAATTGCAGGAAATTCATAAGAAATTAATAGAAGTTAATTCTTAACAGTATTTTTTTTTTTTTTAGCTTTTCCTTCAGTCCAAAAGTCAGCAAAAATTAGTTCGTGGTCTAAAATACTCTAACTGTAGCAGTTTTAGCACCTATAAACAAATTGCGCGAAGCGTCTGTTTCCTTTATCTTGCTTGAAAACTATATCAATCTCATTGACAATAAGATGATACTACTGATTTAAAAATACCTCCATAATAACAATAGCCGCAAATATTGCCGGGCTGCGGGTTAATTATTTTCACGATTTAGTAACATCTAAAATAAAAGTACCAGTTATTTAAATACGCCGAGCAAATACTTGCTAGACCTTGACCTTCAGTAACCGGAAGCTGTCGATAACGGTTGACCAGAGAAAGCTGTGAATAGAATCCTAGCTCCGCCGATTACTTCATAACAGAAGTAAACAAAACAAAACGAACTATGTACATTTCATTACAGTGACTATTGTTTAGATCCTCGCCATGGTGTCATATCTACGGCGTCATATTTACATTTACACTAGGTAACAACTCGGAAGTGTTGCGCGCTGAGCATGCGCAGTCAGGCAATCATCCTTCGTTTGTTAAAAAGGGCAACGACTGTGTTTTTGTTTATCAGCGTGTGATGTCTCCACCCCTCACTATCCCCAGGTATTTGATTGTCCGGTTCTCCCAGCATTCCGCGCGGCATATGGTTCTGTTTCCGGCTTTATCGGATCTCTTTGTCTACCCCGGTTAAAGAAACCAATCACCGCCCGTCAAAAGCAGGCTCCAGCTGGTGTTACAACTACTAGTCACCTTTCCCGTCGGTGTACGATTTCTGGGACGGGGGAAAAAACAACAACACAACACCGCGCAGCCAATCATCAGCAAACACGAGCGACCTGTTTCTGTAACAATCTTGTGATCACACAGAAATAGATCAAATAGTTAGAGTTCTCCCCCTTTTTCCCGCAGGAGTGAAGTGGTTAGTTCAAAAAGTTAACTGCTTTCAGATGTAACGGCTGATGTCATACCTGCAATATGTACATGCATACATACATATATATATATATATATATATATATATATATATATATATATATATATATATATATATATATATATATATATATATATATATATATATATATATATATATATATATATATATAATTATATAGGCCTCTATATATATACAGGCATATATATATATATATATATATATATATATATATATATATATATATATATATATATATATATATATATATATATATATATATATTGAACCATGTCTATATTGCAGCAGTTTACTTCTTGACCCTCCCCATTCCCAGAATCTTAAAACAATTTACCCTCCCCTATCACTACCCTCTCTGCGCGTGTCAGCACAAATTACCGTCCCAGCCCCTAACACCCGAGTGACCCTCGCAGTGTACTTTCAACTAAACATTTCAAAAAGTCGGCTGCGCACAGTTTTGGTGCCTAAAGTATTTCAGGCTGGGCATAGTGCCAGCAGACGACCCAGACGTTGAGATAATGGAACAGGCCGCGCAGTCATACTGAACGCGGTTTTTTTTTCTTTCTTTAGACAGGTTGTTGCTTTCAACTCACCCCCACCCGCCCCACCCCCCAGACTCCCACTGGCTGTTAGATCCAAATAACTTACCACAAACTAAGATACCAGACGGAAAAAAAAAACTACCCACAAATTCTATTTTCGTTAGTTGTTTTTTTTCTCTCTTTGTCACCCATTTACCAGAAAAAAAAACCTACTTCACGTTTTGTTTTTAAAAATCTAACACATAATTCTCATCATAACTGCAGCGTTGTCACTTCAATCCATATTTTTCAATTCCCTTCCCCCATTTTTTAACCGCTTATTAAAGTGATCCAACTCCTCAAATGAGTAGCGGTGTCATAACGCAAAAACACCCCGGAAAAAAAATGTCTCCAGTAATTTAAAAAGCCAAATGTAGCACATCCAAAGACCGGCTCGTGGTGTGCAAGGTAATGAAACTCTCTTCTAAAGTTTCGAGGCTATCGCATTTCATCAGTCTTAATTAGTTTACATACCAACGGTTTTCACCTAATTTAAATAGGGGGGGGGGGGGAGGAGGCGGTGGGGTGAAAAATGTAATAATCAATTCTCGTTGGGTTTTCATTTTTTATTTTCTCATCTCAGAAGGTATGTTCTTTCATTTCTGACAAATCAAGATAAAAAATAAAAAAATAAAAAATATAAAAAAAAACGACCCGAAAAGCGTATACATGTATCGCATGTGATCACGTGTTAGGTGTGTGGGTGTGGGTGTGGGTGTGTGTGGGTGTGTGGTGGAAAAACGTGACATCTCACACAATTCCTATCATCTATAATCACCGATGTGATCCAGAGTTCGATATTAATCTTTTAAGAAATTAACGCCCCAACATAATTTAGAATTTAACTGGAGGTGGCGATGTGTTGCACGACGTTTTAAACATCAAGTTACTTCCCTTGAACAAATCTTTCGCTACTTAAAAATAATTCCACTTTTAATTGAACTAATTGTTCCGTAATAATTTCTCCCCGACTAACATTTCACTTTAAATTTGCTAGAGTTAATATCTCTAAGCAAGATTTACGTTGTTGCAAACATTGGATGAGTTTAATTTTAACACAATTAAAACAGTTGTTAGTACATTTCACGACAGAACAAAAAGTTCATTTTAACAACTTTTATCGTCACAATAAACCATTAGTTACATTTTAAAAAATCTTTTAGTCTTGTAAAATTGTAGCGTTTGTATGCTGCTAGCTTCTGTGTTTTTTTTTTTTTTAATTTTAAATTCATTCCTTAAAAAATTTTAGAATGTGTATTAACTTGTGTGGTTTTTAAATTGTGTGTTCATTTCTTAAAACCTAATAGGGTTTGTATTCACTTTATTATTTTGTATTTATTCCTTAAACTATTTTAGGTTTTGTGTTAACTTATGAATTTATTTTAATTTTTTTTTAAATTTGTATTCATTAAAATATTTAGATTCTATATTAGCTTGCGTTTATATCTATTTTTAAAAAAAAGATTGTAGTTATTGTGTTCATTTATGTTTTTATTTATTAAATTTTATTCTATAATATATTTTAAGTTATTTATTACTTGTGTATGATTTAACTTTATATCTGTTTCTTGAAACATAGTAGTTCTTGTGTTCACTTATGTATGGATTTATTTTATATTTAATCCTTAACATATTTTAGGTTTTATATGAACGTGTTTGTATTTATTTTATGTGTTCCTTAAAACGCTATAAGTCTCTGTTAACTTGTGTTTGTATTTATTTTATATTTGTTCCATAAAACGCAATAGGCCTGTGTTGTGTTTGTATTTATTTATATTTGCTCCGTAAAACGCTATAGGTTTGTGTTGACTTGTGTTTGTATTTATTTTATATTTGTTCCTTAAAACGCTATAAGCCTTTGTGAACTTGTGTTTTTTATCTTCCCCAGATGGCAGGCTGAACCTCAAGTCACATGACCGGTGTACGAGGAGTATTACATCCAATCACCGGTCACTTTCACCTTGACCCTGGCCACTCAGATATCCCAGCGTACACTTTGTTTTCACCTCGACCCCTAGCAGCGTGTATCCCTTGTGTTGAAGCTTGACCCTCCTTGCACTACACCTGACCCACCTTGACCCCCCTTGTCCTTGACCTAGAGACCGCCACCCCATGCTCCCCTGACCTCCGCCCAGCACGATGTCGGAGAGCAAAGTAGCGTGCGAGAGCTTTCCTCGGACCAGCAGCAACAGCAGCATCAGCAACGCCAATGGCAACAACAACAACAACAACAACAACACTATCGACAACGGCGACGGCATCAACGGCGAGGGCAGCCCCGGCCCCGCCGGCGACCTCCTCGACCACCCCAAGTCCCGCTCGTTTCTAGACTCGCTCGAGCGTGACCGCCGGTCCCCGCGCGACATGCACGAGATCCGCCGTAACTCCTCGCACGGCCTTGACCTTTCCAAATCCTCCCCCACCAACCCTTCGGACGAGACCAACGGCCTCGATCTGACCAAACCGGAAATGATCAGCGCCAGCAAATACCCCCGCAGCTCCGACCCCACCCCCTACACGAACGGCATCCCCACGGACGCCCAGCCCACACCCGCCCCCGTCAGCTACGGCCCGGGCCGATCCCACAGCGCCGGGGAGTCCATCTCCCCCTTCAGGGCCGACTCCGTGCCCAACGGCTACAGTCCGGACAACATCTCAAACGGCAACGGATATAAGAACAAGTTCCCCGACGCCTACGCCAAGTCCGCTGACCCCGACCGCTACGGTTCGAAACCATTCGAGTCGATGCCATCCTCCGCGGCCATGTCATCTTCATCCTCCTCCACGGCCTCGTCGCCCACCTACCCCTCGAAAATCCCCGACCCGTACAAGATCACAGAGAACTCATTCCCCAAGCCGCAGGACGCGTACAACAAAATCCTGGAAGACTACGGCCACAACGCCAGAAACAACAACAACAACAAACTCAGCGACGACTACCCCGGCAAAATCCCGCCCGAGTCACAGTTCGTCAAAATGGCCGAATCCTACGCCAAGCAAATCGAATCTCTCACCAACGGATACAAGTCGGATCCGTCTTTCAAGAAAGAGAAGTCTCTGTCACCAGGCGGGTACAAAAACGACCCGTCACCGCTGCTTGGTTTTCCGAAAGCTGAACCCGGAATGACCAACGGCTCGCTGTACGGCAGCAAAACGGAAGCCGTGAGCTCATCCTCGTCCCAGCCCCCCAACCAGTCCCTACCCAGTATCCTCAACTTCTCCACAAACCACCTCCGCGGGATGGCCGCGGCCGAGAGCGGACTGGCCAGCTACCTCAACAGTTACGGCGTCGGCGGGCCCGGTTCGGGTCCCGGCGGCGACAGGGGCGACAGAGGGAGCGGGAACGGGAACGGAAACGGCAGTGGGGACACGTCAATGTCCAGGTCCAGTCCCAACAACAAGCTGGCATGTCGGTTCTGTGGCAAGACCTTCTCACAAGCTGGCTACATCAAGGTAAGTGCTGGCTCACTGGTATCAGTCGCCCTCTCTACTTGCTGCATGCGGCTAGTCTATGGCTAGCCCAAAACTAAGTTACTGCTGCAATCATGGTACGATGTGGCCTAGCGGTAGCGCGCAAGACTGTTAACCTGAACGTCTCGAGTTCGAATCAAGTCTGTAGAACGTTCCTAGAGTCGACTCAACTCGTTAGTTGGCCACTCTATCTAGCAACAACGACACTATGGGTTTGTACCCCAAGTCTCCACTGGCTAGATACACAGAAAGTTGTTTTTTTTTAATAAAGAGTAACTATTGTAACATATGATTCTTATATTAGTCATTATAAAAAATTAAGGATTAGAAATATATGTTGAAAAAAAAACAGAAGAATTATCAACAACCATGTATCATATTTCCCTGGTCTTGCCTAAGACAGATGGGGCAGATGAAGTAGAGTTCATCTGTTTCATTGACATCGGTCTCGAGTGGATAGTATGGTCAGCACTAAGTCCAGCCGCCTGGTATTCACTAATTTGATCAACAACCATGTTTAAACACTACCATTCCGGCTAGACAACAAAGCTTTAAGAGTTAGAAAAAAAAAGATTTTTCACTATTCTGTAAAGAGATTTTCACGTTATTTTTTGTTTCTTATTTTAAGTTTTATTAAAACCCATTCGTTTTTTTTTTTCTAAAAATACCTGTAAACTTTAACTTACCTGAAGAATTACACCTGTAACCTTGTGTCCACCCCAGGCCCACGAACGTCTCCACACAGGTGAGAAACCGTTCGCCTGCTCCGTCTGCGGCAAGAGGTTCAGCGACCCCAGCAACTGGAAGAAACATGAACGTGTCCACGCTAACAACAAGAAACAGAGTCATCTCATGGAGTCACCTGACTCAAAGGTTGGTCTCTTTATGGCGAGTATTAGTTCAATACTTTCAATATTTGTCTGTCCACTACACTGGTCAGTTGAACAGAGTCATCTCATGGAGTCACCTGACTCAAAGGTTGGTCTCTTTATGGCGAGTATTAGTTCAATACTTTCAATATTTGTCTGTCCACTACACTGGTCAGTTGAACAGAGTCATCTCATGGAGTCACCTGACTCAAAGGTTGGTCTCTTTATGGCGAGTATTAGTTCAATACTTTCAATATTTGTCTGTCCACTACACTGGTCAGTTGAACAGAGTCATCTCATGGAGTCACCTGACTCAAAGGTTGGTCTCTTTATGGCGAGTATTAGTCCAATACTTTCAATATTTGTCTCTCCTCTACACTGGTTAGTTCAACGGCTGACTGAGGCGGTTCGTCCCCTAATCGTAATGGTCAGCTGAACATTTGGCTAATGACTTTGCTGATCCAATGGTCAGTTAAACATTTCGCTAATGACTTTTCTAATCCAATGGTCAGTTGAATATTTGGTTGAAAAATTATGTAACCTGTCTATCCATTAATCAGAGGAAACATGGCTAAAATTTAATAAATGACCTCTCCATCCACTGGTCCATTTAGAGATCAACTACCTACTGACAAGTCGATAGAACTACCATCTAAATGACCTATCACTTCCTGGTCAGTTAAACAAAAAAGTCAGCTAGTGAATTGCTAATGGCCAAAGTGTTATGATCTAGCCACAGCCAGCAAAAAAAAAAAAACAAAAAAAAAATAAAACCTACTTGATCGCTTTACAAATCCAAATACATTTTTAACTCTCATTCACACTTCCCATCAAAAGCTTAAGGAGTAAATTGAATATTGTATTAAAATCTCCTTTTACACATAACCGACCTCATAATATACCCCACCCCCATCCACACACACATCAACTTTTCTTTTAGCTTCATTTGTATTTAACAAGTGCCATGCTTTGAAGATCTGCCAGTGTGTAGTTCCTGCATTCAGGAGAGGACGCCCACACTCTCCACAACACACTTGTTAGTGCAGTGTGTACAACGTCACCACTTTATGTTGTAAATTGTTTCTTCCTTATGCTATTTTTGTCACAGCGTCTTTCACAAAACTTATTCCTGACACTCTACACAAGCACACAAGAAGTTAAAATTGATGTTGTAAATTTATTTATAAACATAATGTAAAATGTCTAATTTATTGTATCATCTTCTTGCATTACTTAGAAGAGTAGAGAATTTTTTTTTCAGGATATGTGTAAAGTCTTCAGAACCTCGAGCAGTGTATTTTTGTCTTCATCTACTAAAGTGTCTATGTTGTCATTGATCTTATTATCATCATCTTATTTAAGATTATCTATTATAACGTGATGTCATGACTTGTGATCATCCAATATAAAGTCTACCTGTTATACAAAAATACACTACCACTAATATTTATCCCTACCTATACCAACCACCCACTACCACCAACATTTATCCCTACCTATACCAACCACCCACTACCACCAACATTTACCCCTACCTATACCAACCACCCACTACCACCAACATTTACCCCTACCTATACCAACCACCCACTACCACCAACAATTATCCCTACCTATACCAACCACCCACTACCACCAACATTTATCCCTACCTATACCAACCACCCACTACCACCAACATTTATCCCTACCTATACCAACCACCCACTACCACCAACATTTATCTCTACCTATACCAACCACCCACTACCACCAACATTTATCTCTACCTATACCAACCACCCACTACCACCAACAATTATCCCTACCTATACCAACCACCCACTACCACCAACATTTATCCCTACCTACACCAACCACCCACTACCACCATCATTTATCTCTACCTATACCAACCACCCACTACCACCAACATGTATCCTTACCTACACCAACCACCCACTACCACCATCATTTATCTCTACCTATACCAACCACCCACTACCACCAACATTTATTCTACCTATACCAACCACCCACTACCACCAACATGTATCCTTACCTATACCAACCACCCACTACCACCAACATTTATCTCTACCTATACCAACCACCCACTACCACCAACATTTATCCCTACCTATACCAACCACCCACTACCACCAACATTTACCCCTACCTATATCAACCACCCACTACCACCAACATTTACCCCTACCTATATCAACCACCCACTACCACCAACATTTATCCCTACCTATACCAACCACCCACTACCACCAACATTTATATACCAACCACCCACTAACACCAACCCTTTCCCCTATCCACACCAAACGTCCAACCCATACACCAGCTTCTATCAACCATCCACTATAAAAACTTAACTCCACATTTAAGTGGGATAGTTTTCACTCGGATCAATGCTGACCAGACACCGGTAGATCCCAGCTGGCTGGGGGGTGGGGGAGAGGTGGGGTGGGGGTTGAAATGACGTTATCACAAGAATCCATCTTAAGTTTGGGGTTCTATCAGGGTTTTTTCCCCCTCTCTCCCCTCCCCTCCTCTCCCTGAAGCCGAAGCTAAAACTCTTTTAATTCACTGTCAATACAGTTTACTGTGGAGAAATAAATTACCCTGACCTTCCGTGTTTTAGGTTTACAATGTGCTGCATTCTTTTAAAACCAGACACACGCACGCATACAATTTAAGACATACATGTACCGACTCACACACCTTCGATGTAACCACAATGTTTTCACACACCCAGATACACATTTCAAAGATACACAGACATACTTACATACACATAAGATAAACTGTTTTACACATTAATGGTTAAACATGCATTGCCATACACTCTCACTTATATATGTACATATACACACATACACACTGACTAACCCTGCACAGATTCACACAACTCTGAACACCTAAACACAAACACACTCACGCCCCGTCGTGTCCAGAACCGTTTGTCTATGTGTGTGTAGGTCGGCGTGTCACGAGGATGTCACACACAGCACTCACCAATACACACACACCACCCACCAACCCACACACACCACTCACCAACTCACACACCACCCACCAACACACACACACACCACCCACCAACTCACACACACCAACTCTCACACCACTCTGCTAGCATGATCTGTGTTTAACCTACGCGATCCATCCTTCACTACAACAGACGGCCTCTCTACCACTTCTCACATCTCCATCAAACTCGTGTCATTGTGCACACCACCACAGCCGCCACCATGATACGTAACTCTACCACCCTATCGTCGCCATATCAGTCGACTTATTTTTCCATTAAAGAGTCGGACCAATTTCCAACATCTCATTTTGTTTCGAGTTTTTTTTTTGTTTTAGTAAAAAAAACAACCAAACACAGCATCAAGTATTCAAAACCTCGCGAGACTCTATTAAAAAGATTTCAATTTGAAAACGAAAGTGCAATTCTTACTTTTCATCACGTGGAGAGCTCACACGCAACACTAACAAATGCGAGCCTTCACTCGCCCCACGATGTAAAAAAAAAAAAAAAAAAAAAAAAAAGCCGCCTGGAAGAAAATTATTGCCCCTTACTCTTATTTGTCCCCCTTTACAGTCTATTTCTTTTCACAGCTTTGCTTACCTCACTCACCCAACTTTCGATTTCTTGGCCGTCCAATCGCATGTCTCCCTTTTATTCTTAAAATATTTGGCCGTGTCCTCCCCTGTAGGTCAGCCTCGGCCCCGCAGCTCAACAAATTTGGGTTATTCACGTTTGAGGAATTAGATTTACGGTTTTAAAATGGCCGATTTCTATCCTAGTACTGCGTCAGCTGACCCCGTTTTAAATTAAAACATGGTTAGGATTAGGTTTTAACTAAAGAAATAATACACCGTGCTTTCTTAAATTTTTATAATGGTTTAGTTTTGCATGGTAAACAAATTAAACGATGATATAGTGATGATCTTTTAATATTTACATCTACCCCAACCCATAGGGATATTGAATTAGGAATCGTTGTTTCACAAGCCTGAAGTAGACAGGCTATCAGATCTAGGATAATAAATTAATGCTCTTAATTAATCAAACCTCTTTTATAGCCTTAAGTTCTATTGAATAGTTGAACATTGGGGGACACTACTCTCTCGCCTTCCTCCATTCCCCTCTCTCTCTACCACCATCCCTAGTACCTCTCCCTGTCACACCCGTCCATTCCCTGATGTTGTTTACTCCCGCTTATTCTTTTGTCTGCCTCTTTTACGTTTGTCTGCCTCTTTTACTTTTGTCTGCATTTTTACGTTTGTCTGGCACTGCTCGTAGCCTGTGCGATTAAAAAACAAAACAAATTTTGCATCTAAACTCATCTCTACAATGTTTAATCACTAACAATGCTACTCAATTCACATTTAAAAAAATGTAAAAAATACACACCACACACAAACCTCGTTTCCCCCCCCCCCCTCTCCTTTCTCTCTCTCTCTCTCTCTCTCTCTCTCTCTCTCTCTCTCTCTATATATATATATATATATATATATATATATATATATATATATATATATATATACATTTACACACAAACACATATCTACACATATACTAATACATTTATTCACACAAAATACACATGCAAATATATGTATACATAAATAAATTAATTTAAATATATATATATATATATATATATATATATATATATATATATATATATATATATATATATATATACATATGTATATATATATATATATATATATATATATATATATATATATATATATATATATATATATATATATATATAAATTTACGAAAACTCAATTTACCTATTCTGTTGACTTTTAACTTTTTCAAATGTTACCGCATTGCGTGAATATAATTAATTATAACTAGCTGAATTTTCTCCGAATGTTCTCGATGCCGTCACGTGGTTACCGTATAACTGTCATCCTTGTACACCGGAACGTTAATGCCCCCATCATTGTAGCTGTTTCTAGCTAGACCCAAGCGTACTCCTCAAAACCCGTTGCGTTAATTAAATTTTTACGACACCCTAAAACTATAATTATCTCGCAAATCGTGACGACTTCTCGCCTGGCAAGAAAACTCTCAAATAATTACACGACTTGAAAACAACACGATCGTCCTAAACTAAATGGTTTTTTCGCGATGAAAGAATTAACACTTATCTCCCTTTAGCCACGCGCCGCGTATTTCTCTCCCCTATTTCAATTAAAAACGACTTTTATTATTCCGACTTATTGTAACAAACTCCCATCAGGGGCTGTTCGCGCGGGGACTAACCCACGGACACTTGACATTTCAAACTAAACAAGAGT